AAGATCTGAAAACATTTGAGAACATGGCAAAAAAATGCATTGCATTTCTTATTCGTAGATAAATGAGTTTGGACTGCCGTTTTGATACTTGGCTCATGTCAATAGTGGAGGAGGTTTGTTAGCCTTCTATCTATTTTTGCTCCGCCTTTTTCTGTTGAGAAAATAATTCAACTAATTTTTGAGTCATTAAGGAAAAGTTATGTTCTCCATTATAAGGTCGTAAGAGAAAAACTTTAGTTTCTAAGCTCGGAATCAGTATATCTCAAACATTCCGAAACACAAGAGCTCCCATCTCATAAGCAACTGCCGGACGAAGGCGTTAAAGGCATTACTGATTGGCAGACGCAAACGCGGGGCGTGCGTATCTCCACCGTTCTGAACAATTGCACCCTATATGCTTTGCGGCTGATAAAACCGCTTTCGCGATCCTAGTTTTTCTGCCTTCGTTTGAAAATAGGCTAACTAAATGGTCAAAACAAAAATAGTGTAAAAAAGATCTGGTCGTGATGACTTTTCTCTCTCTACCATTTTCCTTATTTAGGAACAAGCATGCGACCTACTCTTTGGAAAGAAAGAACGACGTCGATTCACCCTAAACAGAAACTTTGTGGGCGATTACATCGGTTTGGAACATCATCCAGCCCTACAGGTAATTTTCCGTCTATTCATTAGCTATAGTTTACCAAAACGCTTTCAGAGTCTTGTTGGCAAACGGGAGCGGGTGGATTTTGCGCATACTGTAAATAAATATGATCGTCGGTTCAAGGTAAGGGGATGTTTACCACTAAAAATTGGTTCAATCGCTAAAAAAATGCAAATATTCTGCTTTCAGCCGTGTAAACTTGATCTACTGTTGACGGCTAAACAGCTTACTATGATCGGAAGAACGAAATCCAAAGAGAAAGCGACAAAAGGGCAGCTGGTGGAAATAATCAAACGGTATGCGCAGCCTACATTTAGTCGAGTAGAATTTCGCGCTTAATATAGTGTGCCTGCGGCGCCGAGAAAATGCGGCAGAATTTGCGCGTGAACAGATAGCACGCCAATAATGCCGGCATTTCGCGCGCGCAAGTGA